CCCACCAACTCTAATTCAACTACCTATATGGACCAAAGTGCGGCCAAATCTCCCGCGTCATCAATCGGTGAATGTTTCGGCTTTTCGGTTTCCCCCCAACGCAACAACTAAATTGAAAAAGTATAAATTGTTCGCAGACACGGTATTTTCGAAAATATTCTAAAGATGTGATATATTACAGAAATTGTAATAAAATGCTCTATTCGGTAAGGTAATAATCAAGTATGGTTGGCATTTAAAAAAAACTCAAATTTGTTTTACAAGTTTTCTATTTAATGTTTTCCTGTCAAATTAATATCAACGGGACTAGAAGTAATTTGAAAATGTACCATAAATAAGTTTTTCCCAATATCTCTTGACAGAAAAAATTTCAGAAAAATAAAATTGGTTTCTAATAGAGCATTCAAAACTACAATTCTTTGTCCATTTAACCTTTTTCGTAACTGCTTTAGTTTCGAAGATCCCTGTACTGGTGATCGAAAAAAAACTCACCCATATATACAGGGTGAGTTTGTTTCGATGGCTAGTACCGCGATCTTGGGAGCGCCTACTTTAACTGTCAATACTCGTGACGATATGTGGCGGCATTGTTGGATGTTTTTTTTTGGTATTTGTTGTGAACCGCTATTGCTACATTCTCTTTTGCGCTTTTGCTCTTTTGCTCTTTCTTGTTTTTCTACACCACTGTGGATTACAGTGTAGTCTTCATACTGTTTTTGCCCTTTACCCTTCATCTTAGTTCTTGTAGGGCACAAATATGGATGTTATTCTCTTTTAGCTCACTTAGTATTGCTTGATCTTAGCTATTGAATGTTTTTACATTCCAGGATCCGAATAGTATCATGCCTTTTTTTATCCAGTTTCTTAACCTATGCTTTGCGTGGGTCGTCATTTTGTGATCAGTCCTAATCCGAGGCATGGTTGCGGTTCTATGGGCCTTCAATATTTTTTACCTTAGGTAGGGTGCTAACCTGGCTTATGAACTCTTCTCTTTTATCCGGGGTTGGGACCGGCAACGTCATCCGCTAGCTACTCAGTTCACCTGCCGAGATGCCGGCAGAAGTACTTGTTCTTTAGTTTTTTTTGAGAGCCTTTATCAGTATCATCAGTAGATTGTTAAAAACATTAATGGATTGTATATAACTATTCTTAATACTGACTTTAAAAATGTGCTTAGGAATAATTAGGCTTCTGTGTCTAGTTATGCCATTAGAATTGAGGTATTAATTCTTGAAATCGTAGTAGTGATAGCTTAGGTGAACTATTGTTTTAAATTCATTGGGTTGCTCTCAACCGCAAAACCATTTTTATTTACAATTTTCTAGATTCGTTTCTGTATATTTTGCACTAATTTTCTATTATTTTTGTAAACTGCGCCCCAAATTCAGATTCCATAACTTATTATGCTATGGAAAAAAGTACAATAGAGCATTCTCATTCTATCGATTGGCATTGCTTTTGAAATCTTATAAAAAATGTAGATAACTAATGCCTTAATTATTTATTCATTAAATGGATTGTAATATCATAAAACAGCTGCGCACGCTTGCACTTTAACAATTCAACAACAATTAACAATAACTTAAAAACTCATAACAATAAAAAAAAGCAAAATAACTTTGTTTGCCAATTAATTTTATTATATTTTAGGCTGCAAGCGCGAGTCCATTAAACTCACACGGAGAAGTAAGGCCGAGAAATTTTAACCTCCACGTTTTAAACGACGGACACAAAACCTTAATCGCTAGACAAAAGGTTATACACTCATGGAGATCTCAAGGGGGTGTTCTTTTAATCGGCTATGAACAATTTAGATTATTAAGTTTGAAAAAAAATCCAAAACCGAAGCGGAAAGGTGTGGTTGCTCCAGATATACCAGAAACCGAGAAAAATCAGTGTATATTTGAAGGTCAGTTGCAAAACCGTAACTAATGGAAGTCGAATCTCGTAGTGTTGTTTTTTAGAAATATATGCTGCTTTAGTAAACCCGGGGCCTGACTTGGTGATTTGCGACGAAGGACATCGAATAAAGAACTCTCATGCGTCCATATCAGCTGCCTTAAAACAGTTACGGACTAAAAGACGCGTTGTACTTACCGGGTATCCTTTGCAAAATAACTTGACCGAATATTGGTGTATGGTGGATTTTGTCAGGCCAAATTATTTGGGTAAGTTTTAGCTATAACTCCCGCCTGCTTGTGATTAATATGTCTATCATTTTAGGATCAAAAACCGAATTTTTAAATATGTTTGAACGTCCAATTATGAATGGCCAATGCATAGACTCCACAGAAGCTGATATTAAATTAATGCGATATAGGGCCCACGTTTTACATTCTCTATTAGTCGGATTTGTACAGAGAAGATCCCATAGGGTCTTACAAACAGTGTTGCCTCAAAAGGAAGAATATGTGCTTCTGGTTCGTCTCACAACGTTCCAGAGGCAGCTGTACGATAGATTTATGAATGAAGTGGTTCGGACACAAGCTGTTCCAAATCCTTTGAAAGCGTTCGCTGTCTGTTGCAAGATATGGAATCACCCTGATGTACTTTATAATTTTTTAATGAAAAGAGCTCGTGGTGATGCTGTGGATCTCGATTTGGACGAAGTTGCTGGTGCAATTAGTGGTAAGCCCAAATTTTATTAATCTACTATCAAATGAAAAATTGTTTAGTAAAAATAACGATTCGCGAATCCGCGAGTGTTCGCTTAAACTCGCATCAGCCTATCTGCCTCGCACTCACACCCAAATCTTTCGCGGTCTGTGGCACTGGGATTCCGTAATACACTGTGCTAAGATTGAAAGTTCGTTCAGATAAGTTAGTTTATTCGCAATTTAACCTGACTTGTTCTCACACAACAAATCCATTAGAGAGTGTAAAGATCTTGAGACTTTGAGTTAACGATTTCCTGACATCAATCGCTTACAAGGAAAAAATGCTCTTGAAAGCAAACGCAATTAAAAATTGACTCAAATAGTCTCTAAGAGGGCTAATAAATGTCAAGCCCAGAAACCAGCTTTGATAATAATTAGTTCAGGTTCAATAAATTATGACGGAAGTGTTACTCGTTCCCCTTTCACCTCCAGGATAATTCTTCACATGCTGGCTGCAAACGCAAAACGGCTTTATGGGCAAAAAAGCGACCCCCTACCGGAAGTATAAGGGATTCACTTAATTAACCCCCACGTGCAATTTCTGAGAAATTCGCTTTTAGAGGGAATTAAAAAGGGAGACTAAGCCGCAAAATGCACAAGCGTCTAGAAAGTGGCCGGAATTATTACACCAAACCAATCAGATTGCGCAGTTAGCGAGCGTTTCACATAACCTGAAAATAGCTGTAATACGCTTTGAATATAAAACTAACTTAGTTTTATACTCAAAGGTAATACCCAATGCACTACCTGCCTGTGTAATATTTTAATTAGAAAAATTTGTGTTAGTTTTGAAGTTTTTAGCCTGAAGTATAGTTTGAAACCTCACATAGAAATTAAGCATCCGGAATTGAAGATAACAGATATTTCTCCTGGAAAAAAGTTGCAGTGTACCTAAATCCTGTGCAAAACAATTTAATAACAAGAAGTCATATATTAGTCATAGACGAAAGTTTATTGAAGCTATAAAAGTACACCGTTTAATATAATGCTCTTTGTGTGATTTCAATCATTATCTCAAAGATGAAATGTTAACTCACATTAAGCAAATGCACAATTTAAGTCTTATTCCGGAAGTAAAACACTTTAGACGAATGAGAAAGACGAATTTTTACAATTCAAATTGAAAGAAGAATCTGAAAAAGAAATTTACGAACTCGAGTTTTTTTCATAATTAGTATACCTACATTTTCTTCCTATAACCATGTGTCCCAAAATGCACCCCTTTAGAGGTGTAATTATCGTAATTTACGCAAAAAATATGGATTGTGTCTTATTGTAACTACAGCTACGGATCAAATATTTTGAAAATTTGCAATTCTCTCCTTTTTTAGACAGTATTAATTTTTTGCGCCTTCAATAATGTAAACCTAATTTTAGGGGGGCTGGGGAGGATGTATCGTATACTTTTCTTGTTTAGAATCTTATGTTTCCACCGGGAAACTTTTCTTCGTCTTTTTGAAATACCCGCCATAAATCCAGTAACTGACCCTGATTGGTTGGAGAAAGAGTGATCCTGATTGGTTTGGTGCAATAATTCCGGCCACTTTGAATCAACATGACAATCTTTGAAAGGGGATTAATCGCAAAAATTGTGGTTTATTGGATAATCGCAGGAAAAAACCAAAGTAAGGGCTGGCAGAACAAATGCTTTTGTTCAGTTCAACAAGACCTTACTTGGGGCCCTTTAAGCCAATATTAAATATTTATTATCATTTGTAAACTGCCTTCCCACGAGGAAATGGTCTCTTTGCAGATGCGATGTTCGGATATACAATCTTGTTTTTATTCTTCTTCCAGAATCCTCGTGTTAATGTCAATCAGAAATAAGAGTCATTTTCATGATTTAGAGGTTCACTCCAAAGCATTGGCATCGTAAACGACCTTGAAGTGTTTCAGCAAATTTTTGGTAACCAACTTTCACTCATTACAATGACAATTTACTTATTCGCCCGTTCTTCAATTACATTTTCTTCATCCCGTATGGAAAGTAATAACTTTCGCCACGTAAGTTGACAGCTTGACTGTTAGTCACCGACTGATTTGACAGCATTTTCAAAGCCGCTTTGTGTATTCGATAGGCATGGGTAACTCAGTTAATTTTCATCAGTTGACACAGTGCTGCCGAAATGGCTTGTAGCGCCAACTCAAGACACTGGCACAGTAACCCACTGGCGCAGTTGCGTTGCTGTCACCCATTTAGTAGAATGTTGCCCCTGAAAATGTGGTAACCTTTTTTAGTTAGGTGTGGAAATTCTAGCCCCGAGACTCGTAAAGCCTTAATCCGCCTCTGGGTTAAATGCTAAGCGTAATTCAAAGTGCGGCACAGTGAGACGCGATGAGTTATAACAAAAAATACTTATAAGTTCATAGTTGTGCGTTCAGTAAAGAAGAGTGGGCTCTATATGTCGTCAAAATTTCTTCAACCTTTCAAAAATGCATTCAATCCACATGAAATCCTGAATTTTATGCGATTTAAAAAAATCCAATTTTCAAAGTTACAACATTTACAATCTGCAAAAGACATTTTTGAAATGAAATTTTGGCTTAAACTTGCACCTAAATGTCTGATATTCAAATTTCGTTTGACTTTGTGTGACAAATCCACTAGAATTTACTTCCTTACGTTGTTATAACTGAATCGCATTACCAATTCTATATCCAATGATATGAAAACGAACTCTGGGGCTCAAATGGTTCATGAGCAACGTCAAAAAAAGGTGTCATGTTTCAGTCGTTGCAAGCAGGGGCAAAGTGATGCTAAGCTTGTCGGAAACTGCGAAGTTCCACCTGTGTTTAATACAGCAGGAAATCTGTGCAAAGCAAAGAGAGAGAAATATAAAGAATCCATAAAACTTTAATTGCTTGTCGGTAAACTAAACTCGGTTGTCGGTAAAAAGTTGAAGCTAAAAGATTTATAGATCTGCAAGCTGGAGCCCCATGTTTCACTTTCTACCCATTAATCCTCAAAAACTTTACTACGCTTTCACAAACTGCCGCACTTGCCATAAGGGCCACAATGATATATATTTTCCATCTAAGAACGCGATTCACACGACACAAATGGTTTTGTGATTGTGATTGATTGATTATCGACCTATTTCGTCCTCTGTCGGTAGCAAACTGAATATTCATTCAACCTTTTCGAAAAAATACACCTAAGTACAGAATAAATATGATCATTTTATCATTTGAATATTTGCCCTTTCGATGATTCATTGCTCTGTTCTTGCTTGGCAGTTTGATTTCAGTTTGTTTATTGTTGACATTTTTGTAGAAAGTGCCTGTTCGGTTGTCAAAATGTCCTAAGATAATTTTCACGTTCCAACTTAAGGAGTCAACAATAACTAAACGAAAAAGGCTCCTAGCGCCGAGATTTCACTAATGTAATGTTAAATTTAGAGCCATTTATATTTGTCTGAATTTTACTCAGCTCCAGTGATTAATGCACAACGCCAAAATCAAAATTAATAACCGCATGACATTGGTTTTTCTAAAAACATTTGACTAAACAAAAAAAAACCTCGAAGAAATCACTTAAAAATTAAACTGTTTCTCAGTTTCCGAGCGATAATAGAAACCAACAAAATTTCAACTAATTAAAAATGTCCTTTAAAAGTTCTGATTTCAAAAATTGCTCCGCCACAAGCGCAATTTGACGTGCGGCTTAGTGAGGCGCGATGGTTTATAACTCACTAACTCCCAGAGCGGCTTCAACTCAAAAGGGCAACTCAACACAGTGTTTACCAGGCCTAGTATCCGAAATTTCTAAATACATTTTTTTTTCGGAATACTCTACTTTTTATTGCACGAGTCAATATATTATTTTTCAATCATTTACAGGAGCTTCATCAATAACTGATGCAAAGGCCAAAAGAGGCCCGGGAAAACCACGTAAAACAGTAGGACCCAGAGGGCGTCCTTGCAAACCTGCCGCTTCAGTAACGCCCTACAGCAACAATGCTGACTCAATAGTTAGTTCTATGCAGCCTCCTACCAACATAAATGGGTTACTTCCAACCAACACTCAGTCGCAGTTTAACCTTGCTAACACTACGGCATCTTTTTCAAATGCAGCTAAAAGTTCTGACACCAATTATGGACCTTATACGGATGAATTCAACCAGCCGCGAACGTCGTTCGAAGGAATTTCTCAGTTTTTTGACGATCACATGTCTCAGCCATCGTACAGTGCTCCGTTCGGCGAGAAAATGGGCAATTTGTCTCCATTTTTGAATCCCGATGCTAATGAGTTGCACGCACAAGTTTCCATTAGTGAAACCTCTCAACACCAAAACCATAACGTTCATCACAATCAAACCGTTAAAGGAATGAGCATGAGCAGTGTTGGAATTGGCGAAGCTTCCAATAGCCAACAGTCGTCTGCAAATCATACGAGCCTGTTTAATCTGGATAACCAAAACACGGTTACGTTAGCCAAAGCAAATGCTAAAAGTACGCCAATGATTCCGAATTTGCCTTCTGGAATCTCTCTAACTCCCGTGAGTGCCAAATCGCAAGCTAATCTGCAAAACACGAAAATCCAGGCAGTAAATGCCCATCCGCAGAATGAATCTTTAGGGCTCTCTCTTAGGCAATCTTGCGGAACTACTGGTGACTCGCTTCCAAATCAGTTAGGATCCAATCTACCTGTTCAAGATTCTGAGGTTAAGAACAATATATTAAATGGTTTTGTACAGCAGAAGAACTCTCAAAAAGAGCAAGAGTATCATCAACAAGGTTAGCAAGCACTAATTGCGTCAAGCAAATTAATTATTTAAATGGCATATTTTTTATTGAAGTGTTGTGTTTGTTACAGGTGCTTCATATACAAATAATGCTCATCCAAACCAAGTTAGTTCATATAATTGGTTGAAGAAAGAAGACACTAGTTCGTTGATAAATTCCAATAATTTAACTAATCATAAAAGTGATTCTAGCAATGAATCCAAACCTAAAATCAATATTATTAGCGACATCAAATTACCGTCAGTATTTTCCTCGGATAGAAAAATTAATATCATCAGTGACTTTAAAATTGAATCCAAAAAAGATGAACGAGAAGATGATAAGTACGGCGTCAAGCAGGAATTGGATAAATTTAAAATGGAACCAAAAAATGAGCTAAAAATTGAAGATGAGGCAATTACACTCAAAACTACTGAAAACCCACTAGCTAAGTTAGTTGCCTCGTTACCAATTAAGGATTCAAAGGAGGATGGCGGAATCCCTTATGACTGGGTAAGTAGACAACGTAACAGCTTTCTTATGTATTGAAGTTTGTTTAAAAATATTAATTGTTTACTTTATGTTGGTACGAATGTTTTCATAGTAGTGTTTTGCTGCCAACACAACAATTTTAACAAATAATATACAGGGTGTCTCACGGGCAGTGTGCCTTAGAAATTTCGGGAAGTAATGCGCTTTCAATCCTGCAAATTTGGATAATGGGTTTTCGAAGACGCTCTTTTCAGATGAAATAACCGTAACATTCTGCGACTTCCGGTTATACCGTTAAATTACCCTTTTTTCTCAAAATATTAGTATTAACAGGGTGTCGCCTAAAATTAAATATATTTTAAGATGACTGTGAAACTCAAAATCTAAGTTGCAAAATTAGATATTATTGTGCTCGATGATGAATTATCGGGAAAAGAAACCTAGATACAACAAAGTGGGAAAATAGCAATTTTTATTCTCTTTCAAAAAAACCGGGAAAAAACGCTAGAACAGGGATTGGCAACCTTTTCCGCGGTGACATTTAAAAGTTTTATTTAAAATAACTTAAATAGTGCTTTTATATCATACCGGGTGTCAATTTGAAAACTTCCCACCCTTAATATCTGTTTGCAGTTAAAAATATGAAAAATCGGAAAGATCCGTCAATTTGATCTGTAAGTAAGTTAAATTCTCTTTACATTAGTTACTACTTTGTTGCTTTTTGTCCAGGGGTTTTCGAATAATCGCGGTTCAAAGTTACAGAAACAATTAAACTTGCCTGCATTAAGATTTTGGTTTTCAGATTAGTGTTTAAACATAAATTATATCATTGGGTACAAATGATTGGAAGATTAGGTTACACCGTTAAAATCGTTGAATAGCAGGAAGAAAATCTAGTTTAAACAATTAATTTCAGATTTATTGATTATTTTACTTCGAGAATAATAACTTGTTATTTACGGAAGATAAATTTCTACGATAAAACCCATGGGATCTCCTTACGCATTATCTTATAAGATTTCAGGGTTGACATCTACCCCTCCCAGGGGGTTGAAACAAGGAGGCTAAAAATATTAATTTGAAGTGTCTCCCTTTCAAATACAATAACGGGTTTTATCGATTTTTTATATTTTTAACTGCAAGAAAGATATAAGGATGGGAAGTTTTCAAGTTGACACCCCGTATACAAGTAAAAATATTATTAAAAATAAACATTAACATTTTTTTATTGACATGTTATAATAAAAATAATATCAGAGAACAAAAAATTCACAATTCTTAAAAATGAAAAAAAGATGCAATTTCAATAACATACGTATAAATATTGTTGGCTCCGGAAGTTCTACCATAAGGCCAAGGACGCCTGCGACGCCAGTGTAGGCAAGGCATCAACTACCGTATGCTGGCCGGGTACCGTACCAACCGCTCGAGCTACTCTTCTTTGGTTAGGGAAGAAATGTTGGGTCCGGAAGTTCTACCGCCGAGCGAGTAATCTGGAACATTTGTAGTGAGAGTGAATCCGAAAATTGTATGACGATTGTTTAGCAATAAACCGGTTGTTCATTCAACTATTGGGCTATTGCTTCCAAACCCATCAATTAACAAGCACAATAATATCTAATTTTACAACTGACGTTTTGAGTTTCTTTTTTTCATCTTTAAAAATATATTCAATTTGCGGCGACACCGTGTCAATGGTAAAATTTTGAGAGAAACTATTTTTTTGCTCAGAAACGGAAAGAGTAAGTATAATTTTTTTTATTAAAGTTATTGGAAATGAACAAAGAAACACTAAAAAATATTATACAGGGTAATTTATATTTAAAACTGAACTGAATAACTTTTGAATGACTGGGAATCCAGCAGTTGAATCATTCTTAGTCGGAAAGCACGGGAGATCACTTCGCCCACTGCCTCATCGCCTTTGAAAATGTCCACCGCAGTTGTGGACGAAACGTCAGGAAGAAATTCCGATAGACCACGGCTTCAAAGCCCGGAAAACATTTCTAAATGTAATCTGACCGGCCGTGAAAGCTTTCATAGTATAATATCATTGTCCAAATTTGCAAGATTCCAATCCCATTACTTCCCGAAATATTCTAATGGATGCTGACCGTGATGCACCCTGTATATTAATAGTTCTATATAATTGCTTTAATTTTTCAGGCAGTTGAACTACTGAAAGACTACGTATCCGGCCAAATAGAGAACTCGGCAAAATTCCAGATACTGTTTTGTATTATAAAAGAAAGTTTAGCTTTAGGCGATAGACTGCTAGTTTTTAGCCAATCTCTAATTACTCTTGATTTAATTGAACAGTTTCTGCAGACGAGCATTATACCAGGACAAACTTGTAAATGGGCCAGGAATACCAGTTATTACAGTAAGTTAATTTGTATCGTATTTATGGTTATGCCTGGAATTTTTCTACTTTATTTGTAGATTTAAACTCTGTTTCTTTCATTCGAAGAAACGTATTATGCATTTGCGTACTAATTCGTTATAACCGGCAAATTGAAATTTCGCAGAAAGTTATAATGGTGGGTTTTAGTGGTGGGAAATTCGAACTTAATCTGATTGGAAAACTCTTGATTTTAACCCCTTAGTTTTTACTTTTGGTGTTACTAAAAGATCTGGTTTGCAACGAAGAAATTCAATTGTGCGAACACTTTATTCAAAAATTTACACTGGAGTTAATACCATAAGGAATTAAGAAGGTATTAATATTTAGAATCTGCAGTTACATTATGACATATTCATTACTGACCACCTTGTATTTAAAGTATACAGGCTTGTTCCAAATGAAGGCGACATTATTAGTAACTTACTTAGTTCTCGAGAAATGACAATTAGTACAATGAATGTTTTTTTGCGCTTATTGCGATGATGACAACAAAAAAAAACAAATTTGGTCATCGGATTTCCCAGATATAGTGAACTTGTTTTTTTGTAGAACTCCGTATATGTTATCTGACAAAATCAAAAAAAAATCAAAATCAAGTCAATTTTAGACAAATATGCCAAAACCATTTTCATGTAAATAAAAGATCTATTTAGATGTGACGACTTTAATTTAATTAAAAATAAATAATACAGTTTCAGATAACTTCCATTAAATCTTCGCCATTACCGCGTGTTTTTCGGTAGATTTTGCGTTTTATTGCACCGATAATAAATATTGTACCGTGGATGGCCGAGTATTGAACTCTTTCTTCTGGTTACAACTTTTATTCCACTCGGTACAACTTTAACTACGGAACAGGAACAAACTAACTTCTAAATTAATGTCAACTTCACAAACGATAACAATAACACACGGAAAACACGGATTTCCGACTCGCGGGGTTTAACCTCTTCTGCACTCAGGCGCGGCTGTCACTTCACTCTCCTTGTCTGGTTCTCGTCGTAGCTTATATACTTGTCTCCAGGTATTCCAGATAGTTCTAGAAATCTCCAGAACAGGTGCGAAACTTCCCGCTTGTCAGTGTCATATTTGACAGTAAATGGGGCCCAAATGGGGCTCCCATTTACTGAAATACCATGAATTTCGATCCCCCATTCCAAACGTGAGTACCCCAGGCCATTTCCGTTACAATATCTTATTTTATTAATGTTAAATTATTTATTAATTATCTTATGCGTTAGGCGTTATTCTAATGAGGCCTGCACAGTTTGTAAGATAAATGATATTCCATTATGCCACGTGACCGCCAAACATCGTATTTACTTTTTCTTGTGAGGTTAGAAAACGAAATTATTAAACCAGAAAAACAGAAAAACTACCACTTATTCAGTGGACAAATCCATTTTAATGTACAATATTGTAACGGAAATGGCCTGGGGTACTCACGTTTGGAATGGGGGATCGAAATTCATGGTATTTCAGTAAATGGGAGCCCCATTTGCTGTCAAATATGACACTGACAAGCGGGAAGTTTCGCACCTGTTCTGGAGATTTCGAGAACTATCTGGGATACCTGGAGGAAACTATATAAGCGACGACGAGAACCACACAAAAAAGAGTGAAGTGACAGTCGCTCCTGAGTGCAGAAGAGGTTAAACCCCGCGAGTCGGAAACGCGTGTTTTCCGTTTGTTATTGTTATTGTTTGTGAAGTTGACGTTAATTTAGAAGTTAGTTTGTTCCTGTTCCGTAGTTAAAGTTGTACCGAGTGGAATAAAAGTTGGAAGCAGAAGAAAGAGTTTGATAATCGGCCATCCACGGTACAATATTTGTGTGAAATAACCTTTTAGTGGTATGTTACCGCGATAATGTTGGCATACATAGACAAAACCCTATTGTTTCTTAAGCCTATGCTTGCATTTGATTGGCTGTATCTGTATTGTAATAATATTGTTCCTTATTCTGCTTTATAAACGCCCCATTAGGCGTTGTTCCTTAAGCGTTAATCTTATGCCTTAAGCCTTATCCTTATTCTCGTGTATAAACCCACTATTAAGGCAACAAACACACACTACAAAAACCTACACACGTGGCAAGATGCAACTCAGCACCTTGCCAGCAGCAAGTCATTCAAGGCACCAAACCCAGACACACGTGGCAGAATGCAGCCTGTCAACAGCACGCCTAGCTATTTTTGCTTATCTGATAATTGTTCGCATCAAAAATCTTGTCTTTATTGTTGAATTGCGTCCGAATAAGAAACCTGTAAACTGTATTTTTTAACGAATCTAAGTCACGGGCCACTCTGCAGCGCTTCTTAGTGGCGCTGCTGGCGACGGCGTCTTCGACAGAAAAAAAGAATATTCTGGGTACACCCATTACTAAGTGAACGGCCAAAAAAGGGTTTGTTTCCAACTTTGGGTACAGATTTATTAGAAGATGATGATACATTTTTTAGCTGCTTTAGAATGTCTAGGTAACCATTCTATGATTTGAAATATATACTGAACAATAAAATTTGAAAAATAAAAAATAAAAATTGATTGTCCTGGCTGGTGTGACGACACTTGCGAAATAAATTCGACCAGTCTTATAAGAATTATCACACGATACTCATACACAAGTGCATGTTTTTTGTTATTTTAATGATTTTTATATATTTGATATACATAACCACATACATACTACATGTACTGACATGTCTAATACATTTTCTAACCTAATTAGATGGGGATATACTACACTTATGTATTCCATTATCGCAGATTATTTGCTAGAGTCACTCTCTTAACTTGAATGACTCAACAACAAAACAACTGACAAAAACTTCATGGTAGAACTATATTTAAAAAATGAGTGCAATATTCCCGTATTTTACATACAGATACTTGACATACAAATTTAACCCATCATTTAGTTTTAAAATCTAATTTTAGAGTCGCCATAGAAGAATTTTGATTAAAAAAGTATGAGAAAATTTTGTCCATAAGTAATTCAATATGCATGTAAACACCGTACAATATACGAGTATAGTCTCTTAATTGACTTTCCCTAGACAGTAAATAAATGTCATGAAACAGAATACAGGCAAGCCCATAAACTAAGATAAAAAATGTCCAAATATACTCAAAAATATAGTTTTTTCGGAAATATGCAATGTTGCATAAAATATGCAAAAATTGCATATATTCCGCTCTGTAGTAATAACAAAGTTACCAATAGTGTCGACTTAAGAATTTGGAACACCCTGTAGACATTTAGGGATCTGCCTTGAACTACTCATATATTTTTTCCGGAACATTTTTTACCGGGCCTGTATTTTAAGTTCCGCGATACTTGGTGTCCCACGAATGTGGATTGCTAACAGTAACTCGAAAAATATCGTTACAATAATCCCGAAACTTGCGGGTCTTGCAAAAGTGGCTCTACCTCATACATCTAAAAAAATATATATTTTTTTAAGTAGAACGCTCTGTATAGTATAAAATTAAGTTCTCCTAATAATTTTGAACGCTTTTCATATATGTATACAACGAACTAGTTGGAAAACACGTCAGCATTTTCAGTTGCGAGAAAATCTGTATTTTCGGTACATTTTAGGCGTTTTTTGTGAACATTCATATTTAACCGACGAATTCTTCCTTATTATTATTATCGATATTTAACCGGCGATTTAATCCTTATTATTGACCCAAACACTTTATAAATGCACGTTTGTGAGCTTCTTAAGGCGAAAAGAGTCGGGTTTGCGCAAAAACAGTCATGCAATGCATGGTTTTGGCAATATTTGTATGTTATTATAGAAAATGGCATGAATCATGATGCAGCCCCGAACGTTGTTACCAATGCTTCTCAGAGGACATAATATTCGGTGGAAATTAGCAATCATAAGACAGGGTTTAATTTACTTATATTAGATTATTTGGGAAAAAATGTCAGATTTTTTATGCAAAATCATAGAAAAACTGACGGCTTTCAAATTGTAACCCGCTCATTTCTCACAGAAGCGTGTTCAGCTTCGAAAGTTGTCCATTAACTTTCATATATCCGAAATTAACAGATTTTATTTTATTTAAAAGAAAAACACTTTTTAATACTAATTTATATTAGTAGCAAAACTGTAAGAGATAAAAAAATCTTAAATTAGACAACACATTAAAAAATGTGTTTCGTCGAAGTCAGTGGCGAGAGAGAAAGCAAAGAAAGAGAAAGAGTTAAAGAGAAAATAGCAATATTTTTTTGAAACTAACATCCTGTATCTCGATAACCATGAGCCTGAAAAAAAAGCTTAAATGGCAACTCGACTTGTTTTGAGGTCCTTTACACGCCCCTGCTCGGTGTTCATAAGATTGTGAATCACCCTGTATATTTTACATTTAAAAGGAAATTAAATTGCATTTTACCCATTCCTGATCCATTTATTAATTATTAGACTAACAACTGAATTTTTCGAGTTACGCATAGCAGCCAATATTCGTGGGATGGTTCTGTATAATTTTTGTCTTTGCCATATATCGATTTCTCATGATCATGTTTTAGGACTGGACGGTTCCACCGGAGCACAAGAAAGAGAAAAATTGATTAACGAATTCAATTCAAACCCAACAATATATCTATTTTTGGTGTCGACCAGAGCTGGTTCGCTGGGAATTAATTTGATTGGTGCTAACCGTGTGGTAGTTTTGGATGCTTCTTGGAACCCGTGCCATGATACACAAGCCGTTTGTCGAGTGTATCGATATGGGCAGCGAAAGCCCTGCTTCGTCTATCGGCTTGTTGTGGACAATTGCTTGGAGAAGAAAATTTATGATCGACAAGTTAGTAAACAAGGTAATGACTTTCATGAATTGTCATAATCAAAACAATATTTTGTCTCAACGTAAAATTAGATCGTTGTATGATTATTACACTGTTGTAATATTACTATTTGGAATTATTAATTTTTAAATTTGAAATTTAATTATAAAGACGTTTAATCTTAATATTCTATTTTTACCCCCGGACCTACTCCGGATAAGTCGTGCTGCAACACGGAGACAATTTTGAATACATATTTGTGTTGTGTTACGTCAGTTAGTTTTGCTTGAGTTAAGACTTAAGATCCAACTTCAAAGACATTTCAATTAAATGACCGGGATTACATTGGATCTTAAGTAGCAGTAGATAAACATTACTGCTTTTTTTCAACCGAATTTCAATTGAAAGCCTAACAGTTATATAGGACAGTTATAAAAGTGTGGGCATATTTTCCGCAATATACAGGGTGATTCAAAATTGGCGTCATTCCTCTGGCGGTGTTTCAAGAGTACAGAAAAAATAGTAAAAAAAATTAGCTTTTGGTAAAAGAGGTAAAAAATACATATTGCTTCGTAATTATTTAAAACTCCGATAACCATGCAATTATACAGAAAGTGACAATAAGATAGACAAGGATAAACGGTAAATTTACCTGGAATCGTTGAATGACGGAACCTATTTCGAAACTCATAACTTCGAATTATTAATTTGTTTACAAATTACAAAAACATACATTTGAATTTGTAACTCCAAACAAGTGCCTGTGTAATCACCTTATTATGCACTCTTCTCGAGCAGCTTCTCGTATTCGGTTAATCAACTCCTACTCAATTTATACCGGTGTTCAGTAATCCATTGGTTTAATGTATCTTACATACGTGGTAGGAATGTAGCCCTAGCTCGGTATTTATTTGGTGCCTAGGAAAGTGTCAGTTGTGCTCTGAGTAGCCCTGGAAAGCTCTGCTGCAATTATGTCTAATACTTGTTCCTCGGTGTCTGAAACCCGAACATCAAGTGTCGTCCACTATCTTTCTGGAAGCTCTCTGTTGCGTGAATTCTTTCAGCTGCTGCCATGTTACTGTAACATTTCCCCTGAACTAATCGCATATCCGCAAATTCGTGAAAGGAACTTCAAAATAAGTCACAGCTTTACAAATTATTATTATTATAGACAAGGGCTATCCAACTGTAACTATCTGTTAATGACAAAAACATCATTGCCGCTTTGACTTTTCATCAAAAAATTGTAGAAGGGAACTTTATTAATTTTTTTACAAACTTCTTGTTGGGTATTTTGCCTCAAAAATTGTTGTCTTTAAAAAAGACAGAATTTCCTCACGTCTTTTATTACAGATTAATAAATAGTGCTCCTATTTCGCAATAAGAACGAATTATTTATCAAAAAGTAATAAAGAACTATCACCTAGAGAGTATTCTGCCTCAAGCTGTAAGAGAAAATTCCAATTGGTAAAGAAATTAATTTGAAAAATTATCTTGACGTTTTGATAGCAATTTTCTGCTATCGTTATATTATTATTATATTAATTATCCAAATTTTTTTATTGAAAAATGTTTTAACGAAATTGAATTCCCACAAACAAAACAAAATCAAAATAAACCTATTAAAAACCTTTTCATTCCTATTATTCCAGGACTTTCAGATCAAATTAAACGGTGCAAATGGAAACTTAAAGTGAATCCCAGGAAGACTGAACTTCTGATCTTTTCGCGCAAATTCACTAACAACAAAATCCTATCTCCACTCATGTTCCAAAATACCCCAATCAAACCAGTGCAACCCGACTTCATTTCAAAAGCATGTTGACTTTGCTATACAAAAGACTGATGGCCCAAATACTCTATCTTCTATCGATTTATCTATCGCTTCAAAACAAACTTCTGCTCTACACCTCCACTATAAGGCCCATACTGACTTACGGCTCCCCTATCTGGCACTCGGTCAGCAATTCCACGAGACGGCGTGTTCAAAGGACTCATTTTTTTTTCGTGAAAGCTGTTATATCGGCTGACAAATACAGCAGAGTAACCGAACTGCGCGAAGCTACAGGGGTGACCTATATAACCGACTATATAGATATCATCTCTGGCAAATTCTATCATAGTGGAGTGCAAGGCTCCGTCCTCACGCGAAACCTCACACAAGTTAGAGCAAACGATCGTCCTACCCATGGCCCCTCCTTCATCCCTTGCTCTGGGGTTTTATTTTTTTTTTTTTAATTTATCTGCATTGTGTACACATGAAGACTAAGTACTACACAAAGTACTAATTAGAATATTTTTAGGTATGTCGGACAGAGTCGTGGATGAATGTAATCCGGACGCACACTTGACAATTAAAGACGTTAGCACATTATGTTTCGACGATAAAAAGGATGAGGGAGAAATAAAAGACTGGTCTTGTTGCAAAGATAAATATATTGATGTGGTTCTACAAAAGGTCTTGGATAACCATGGAACTACTCTTACTAAGGAGCCTTTTCAACATGAATCACTATTAGTGGATCGTAAAGAGAAGCAACTGTCTCAGCAGGAGAAGAGATTAGCTAAAAAAGGCTACGAAAGAGACAAAAATGCAGCGAGACAGCCTTCTTACTTGAGTAGTTCAGGGAGAGGTAAATCACTGTAATATCTGTCTATATTGATTACTTAAAATGTGATTTACAGGTCATAGGCCGGTGGCATCAGTGCGACCTATGCAGCAGGGTGGCGAACGGCCATCAAGATGGATTCCAGCTGAGCATTGGCAACGCCAAGGTATGACGGCTCAAGAAATGACGCTACCCCTGGATGTTGTCATACCAACACATCAAGCAGACAATGACAGCATAGTAATTAAAGCGGGCCAAAAAGTACTAGTTTTGAAATCACCCAAAGGTGTTTATATGCAATTGGAAAGTGGAAAAATAGTTGCGATCAAAACAGCCATAAAAGTAAAAGGCAGAGCAGACGACAGTTCAATGGATCCATTGAAAATGGCATCTAATCCACCTTTTCTATCTTCGCAAATGAAGAACAACCCTCTCGCAGGAAAGTCGCTAAAGCGCGTTCAAAAACCAACTTTTCAGCCTGTAAAGTCGCCGTTTATCCCAGGCTTAAATAAATTTAATGTAAAAGGCACCCAGAAGACAACTCCCAATCTGGTTTCACGAATTCAAAGCATTTCGAGAAAAGGGCAAAATATACCTATCCGGCAAAAACCGTTTGAACTGGATGCTGATGTTAGGAAAGCAGCAAGAGTTTTTGGAGTTCCGATGCCTGATAGTAGCGAAAGTGACATTACCCCTATATCACAAGTGGAAAAATCTGCGCTCCCAAACCCACTACAGGCCGATGAAGGAGATGAATTAGAAAAGAAAATCACTCAGTTAAAGAAAAACATATCAATTCAAAGGGTAAGTAATTTTGATTTTGATTTTGTATGCTTTGTGCATTCCAAAGTAACATGTTTACAATGGCTGGCAAATTGGGCTCTTTGCCTTTTCTGCACCGGAATATTGGAAGTCACGTGACTAAATTTGTGTGCTCTAAAATCACTAAATTAAAATGGCTGCGCGGATCGAGAATATTCAAATGTTGCATGAAAATGTGTCGCACTTTAAAAGCAGACAACTTGATTTGAAGCAATTATGAGGGTACGATCACCGTGCTTCAAAACAGCAATTCTCTAAATTGCAATCAAATACTTTCTCCATTTTTCTGCACAACAGCGAACATGATTGACAAAGTATCACTTTCTAAACTTAAAGCTCTAAAGGTTATAGTTGCGTAGGCAAATTATTGAACTATTGATTAGCGTAATGTATACGCTTTGTGAGAAATGTCCGTTTAAAAATTAGTTTGACAAAAAATGTTAAATATGTTTATAAAAAGATAGAATCAAGAAACAGTTTCCCAAATGTCTATAAAAAGCCGGCCATGTCTAAAAGTGCATAACTGAGATCAAAATATGTTCGAATTTTTTAGTCAAAAGTCTTTAACTTTAACTTTATTGAACCATTAAAATTTTACATTAGTAAATTACATTTGCAATTACTCGTAAAATCCCGCAGAGGTAGACGTAGGTACTTGTTGGCAGGACTGGAAGAACTTACTACTAACTATAACTTAATTTCAAATTTGCACACTGTTTACTAGAGGTGTGATAAACGGTTATTTTTCTGTAACAGGTTCCAAAGTTCCAGTTTCACTTTGGTAATAGGTTTCTAATTGCGGTTCCAAAAGAAACCTGTTACTTAAAAAAAATATGAAAAATGCAGAATGATAGTAGAAATAGTGATGAAGGTGATTGACCAGGGAATAAAAGTTCCTTTATTTCAGCCCACGTAGGATTGTAAGTGAATTTGATGAACAAATTTGGTCGGCCGTATGCGCCAACATACGTCATTGCATCTTGCGCGTACTCATGCGTATGCCACGGACTCCCCGTAAAAGTGGAGGGGAGTATTATCATTTTTCCCAATTCATTGGGATTTACATTGCTGTCATTAATTACTGCATCACGCAGATGGATATACTGTTCGGAACGCAGTTTCAATTTTTGCATACGTATCGACAATGTATTGATAAAACAACTGTCTGCATTTCAAGATGTGCTTGTCTGCATTGTCGCGAATCATCGATCGACAGAAGTAATACTTCTTAGGACAGGTTTAAAACTAAACGAAAAAAGAAACCAGGCTTAAAACTAAAGTACCTGGTCACAGCTCAGTGAGCGCCTTCGTCACTAACTCCTCCAAAATGACAGAAACACCTGCAGTCAACCAGTCAGCTCTAACCCAGACAGCTTTTTCGCAATCGCCACTAAAAATGTCATTCAACAGCCCAAGATGATGCGTCGTTCTTTCCATCCTTTCTGTTGATAAATGCTCTTCTCATCTTCCCTTCGTTTATTCTTTCGTCTTCCCTTCGGCGATACCTGTTGACTATTTTTTCTTCAATCGCTTCGATCCCGGATTAGTTCCCAAAATGTAGGATTTTTCTAATGGTATATAATTTGACGTACCTGTTTTGTGCCTAGAATTAAATTGTATTAAATGTCGATAAATGCTCCTCAACTATGGTATTGTTTTCGCATTGCAGGTCACTAGCGGAGGTGTAAAACAACCGTTAAAAACACCAATTAGTTCCCAACCGTCACCGAGATTATACCCTACAGCCCAGCAGCAAAAGCCGGGACAGAAAGTGCCTGAGCAACAGCCTAAATTGCCTGCGAAAACCTCGCTACAAGATCACGTCAAGTTAAAGCAGGATGAGTCAGTACTCGAACATCTGGGACAATCTACATCGCGTTTGGAAAACACACCATTCCAGGTAATTTATTTGTTAAATGGCGAGTTTAAAGTTAAGTTAAAAGGAAAGCATCCTCATTGCCGAAATATCTAATTTTAATTCCAATTCACAGAGTTCATGGTATAGAGACTGGAGCGTCCTGAAACGGTTTTATAAAAGTAAACACACCCTAACATGACTTGAATTAATATTCAGTTATATGTTGATATGATCAAGCAAAACACTATTACTAAATTCGTCGTTTCCTAATGTAGGTAGCCTTCAATCTGCAACTACTTATTCAGAATTGTTGAATTGTCTGTAATGCAAAGCCAATCTGCAACAGTGTCCATAATTTTTAACGCGTTAAGTATTCATTGAAAAATACGTCTTTCGATTTCGAAATACTACATTTTACACATCACAAAATAGAGCACGCCCCAATAACTCTTGGAAAGCGATCTTCTTGCTTTCTTGGAAAACCATAAGCAATTATTTCTAAATTATTTCTATTTCAAAAATAATATCATCTAATATTATTTCGTCTTCCAAGTTAATTCTCGAACTTGCTAGGACGAAAACAAAACCTTTAATACCGTCTATGATTTTTAAATACGCGGCATAAACTAGTAACATTTGACACTTTGGTGTTACACGTGAGGGTGATTTGTTTTGTTTAGTTCTGATCAGCTTTTGGGAGCCTTGAAAATAATATAAACATATAGAAAAGTGTGTAAGTATTGTTTTACATTATACATATACTTAAAAATAAAGGTTTAAATATGTCAGTAAGATATTACAAAAGTCTTCATATGGTTTTGACAGTTTACAATGGAGATTAATGTTTACGTTTCGCAGCGCCCCCGTCGGTAGTTGAACTGGCGAACTTTAATCTGCCATTCCCAGCCGAACCCTAATCTGCATTTCTTTTATCCTGTGATTTGTTTCTTCATGTTCTTTTGTGATTTCACTAGGCCGATGGGGGACTGTCTCGACATAGACAGGTTAATTAATTTTTTTTTCGAAAGAACCGGGTTTTTCGAAAACGATTTGGATTATTGAAAATTCAATAAAGTGAATGATTTTGTCTATACATCGTATTTTGCAAACTTGAAATCGGAAAATCATAATCGTTTTAATGTCAAAAGGACGATTTTTCAACACAAGTGTTTTCAATGTTTTCTTTGTGGATTTAAGGTCGTTTTTTTGGAAAAACAGCTTTTTCGATCTGAACATTTGAATTTCCGCATAACAGAGTTGTCTAAATGTCTCTGTTGTGTCTCTAGTTGTCTAAATTATGTTATGTTGTTATGTGGAAATTATGCTAAATATCGGGCCGATATGGAAAATTTTAAATTTGTTGAAATATACGATTTTCTATAAAGCTGCATCTCGGACAACTGCAACTGGTTGAAAAACTTGAAAGTTATGATGATGTCATTGTTTTTTTACGAACAAAATACTTTGCATTTTACCTCGATTAACTCATTTTCAAAATAGAAAATCAGATTGTTTGCAAATTGTATTCTCGACACATTCACTGTCTATAACAAAATTTGTAATTGCGACAGTTTGGAAGGTAATGTGATCTAAATATTGGCAAGCGTTAAAACTCTCAAGCTTGAACATACTTCCACTCTTTATCCCGTAACTCGGTCAGCTATCCACATTTTTCAGAAATTCAAAAACTCTTAAAAAGCCCATAGACGTGGCGTAAATAGTATATTACGGTACAAGAAGCGAAAGTTGAAGTTCCGCCATTGCTTGCGGCAAACGTAATTTAATTCTCTTAATCCCCAGGTGGAAAGTACACAGTTTCGCCACTGTCTTCCATAGCGAAAGAATCAATTTTACTCATTTCAATGGCAATGTACCTTTCCGCCCATTATTCAAGTATTCAAGTTTTTTCAAACATTTTCTTCATCCCGTGTGGAAAGTACTAACTTTCGTTATGCACGCTGACAGGTTGATTGTTTGTCACTGACTGTCAGCTGACTGTTTTGACAACATTTTCTAAAAGTTATTCTTTTTCCGGTTAGTTCTACCGATGATAAAGAAAAATAGTATACTTACGGTATGCGAGAGGAAAGTCAAAGACCCGCCACTGCATGCATATTCATGCATTCGTCAACTTCAAGCAGTGTCGGATCTTTGATCTGTTGTACCGTAATATACGATGAATAATGGGAGAATGCTAAATTATCATTGTAATGAGTTAAAGTGATTATTTCGCTATCGAAAGCAATGGAGAAACTGTGGACTTTCCACCAGGGAATCAAGAAAAAGTTGTTTCAGCGCCAAAGTTCTTTTTTGGTCACCGTTTCAGTGCCAGATAAGTTTAAAATTTCAAAGGTCTGAAGCGCTGGTTGTTCCTGGAGACACGCTATTTTGCTACGTTTGGCGCTGCACCAAGATTTATTTTTACAAGAACTCCAAAAGGAATTTATTCCTATAAATGTTCCTGAAAGATCAGTTCCTATATACGTTGTTCCCGCAATTCGATGGTTTATTAGCATATTACGGTACAAGAGATGGAAGTCGAAGTTCCGCCACTGCTTGAAATTGACATTCATGCATGCAGTCATACTCGAAGTGGCGGGCCTTCGACTTTCGTCTCGTGTACCGTATACTATTTTTCATGATTCTCGGTGGAAACCAACCGAAAAAGGTATAAGGTTTTGAAAATATTGTCAAAACAATCAACTGGCGGTTAGTGATCAAGTCAACCTGTTAGCGTGCGTAGCGAAAGTTATTATGTACCACACAAAATGAAGAAAATTACTAACTGGTAAAAGTGATGGTTTTGCCCTCGAAAACAATGGCGAAAGTACGTACTTTCCACCAGCGAATCAAGAAAAAACATTGCAATTCAATTTTTTTTGAATTTTGGAATTTTTTATAAACCGCAAGTATGCAAAATGTTCACTTACGATTCGAATGTAGACCAAAATGCCACTGCCATTGATTCCAGGTCTTATTATCTCCTTTGCTATAAGTGATAACAAAGTCAAACTGATAAGGGTTTAACCGAAGGAATTATCTGAACTTGTTCTCATCTAGTTTTAAATAGTCATTTTAAGAAGATTGAAATAGCTTTCTTCTGGGAGACAATAGCATGCGCTTCAATTTTTTGCTCTGAAGTTGTTTTCTGAATAATTGTTCTTCTATTTCCTTCTCTTCTAGCAAAATAAGGGTTAACAGTTTAACGTCGTCTATCTTTTGAACACTTTTGCTCAAACGTACCTCACGGACCTCGAACGAAACCTCTTGGCTTGATCTGTTGCGGCTATAGACGCATCACGCAAACCACACCTGAGACTGCGACTGCGCCCCAACGCAGCACCGAGTCGCAGTCGCCGATCGTACCACCAAAACCGCACCTTTAACAACGCTGCGACTAAAAAGACTATCGTTCCTTGGGTGTGCCGAAATTAAATTTCAGTACAGTCTTACATCAGGTTGCTACTCGTCGGTTCATAAAAGTGTTAATTGGTGAATGGCTTGGCACAAGTCGCTTTTCGTGTGGGTTTTTAAGGGTGAACCATTTGCCGATTTTGTGTTAATTTGTCTAAATCCTATTATCAATCATATCCAAGACAGGCGATTCACATTTATCCGATCAGCCGAAGATCTAAGAGATAATGGAAATACAATTTAAATGCCGTAGTTCACATATTTCTACTGCCCATCTGATCCACCTTCGTTCTTGTATCCGATTGCGGCACGGTGCTTTCCTTGTTTGAATTTCGGTCGGTGATATTTCTTGTTTTTAATTGCTTCGCCCAACAGATGATTGAAAAGTGTTGAAAGTTTCCGTTCTTTAGACCTCGTATTTGAATCAGCATGTTTCTAAAATTCGCGTTTTTCCTGTTATAGAGTTCCATTGAATATTTTCACTGGCATTCATGCTGCATTTCAGTCATAGCATACTAGCACATTAAACTGTGTGTAACAATGATTTAAGCTCACCCACTTTTTAGGCCTTAACTCAAAAACTACCAAACCAAATGAGCGCATCTTACACAAACACGCAACATTTTTTTCCAAATGTACGGATTTTCAAACCGTAACAATGATTTATGTTCACTTGTAGAAATCGTAAATTTATTAGACTTTAAACAACCGAAACAAAATTCACAAGTTGCTCAACTATGATCCGATTCTCTGCTTCTTGAATGGCCTCTTTTAGCTCGTCGGTGGTGTTATACTGTGGACAATCAGCATAAACGTCACGCACCAATTGACCCCACAAGTTCTCGATAGGATTTCAATCTGATGACGGTGCCGGCCATGCCAAAACACAATTGATCGATTTCAAGCCGCCAAATACGGCAACACATGGTCTGAGAGCCCTTGTTATCTTACCGAGTTAATTCTCCCGTTCAAAAATCCTAAACTTGTCTTCCCGGCCGCTGAGAAAGCCGCCCAGATCAGTACCAAATCTCCACCAACATTTCGCTTCAAAAAGTTGCGTGAATCAGCGAGTAAATCATCCCAGTAAGTTGCTAAGCCGTCTGAACCATCCAAATTCAATTTAATCTTATCGGACCACACAATCTGTAAAATACAACTAATTCTAGCCACTAACCGTAACCTAACTAATATACCGAGTGTCATTGCACTGTCCATGTTTGATGCTGATCGGCAAATTGGGCTCTTAGAAGCTGATGATTTTGGCTTAGCGATGCAGTCGACTTCATTTTCTCATAACGAAGATTGAGGGACTCTTTTAAAGTCCTCCATACCGTTTCATGTGACACATTTGGCGCAAATTCTTTCTGCATCTGCCGACTTCCCTTCGTTGAATTTGCTGCTGCAGCTCCAATATTTGTTTTTTCGCGTGCCGAGGGAATTGGGATTCTCCCGGAGCCTTCGTTCCGTATTCGCCGCCTAATCGGAACAAATTGCCCACAACGTTAAGAGAACGGCCAGTCTGCTCTTTTTTCAGAGCAATTTCACGATGGGTCAGTCCAACTTATTTATAAGCTTTTCCCTTTCCCATGCTCTAAAAACTTACAAATAACACGATAAAACAATAAATAAGGGCACAACCTAATAAACAGACTATTTTTACAAGTGAACCTAAATCATTGTTACGGTCTGAAAATCCGTTATTGTGTTTGAAAGCAAAGCTGTCTAAATGACCACATGTTTACTGGTCATATGTACCGTATTTCTTAAAAAGATGAGCTCATTTGGTTTTGTAGTTTTTGAGTTAAAGCCAAAAAAGTGGATGAACCTAAATAATTGTTACAAATTGTATCTAAAATATTAAGTGTTATCAATCGAATCATCAACTGTATATAATTGAAACAAATCGATTAGTTAATATAAAAAGTTAAACTTGTTATTTTTAGGAAACACTAGACAGTATAACTGCCGGATTCAAAAATCCTGACAATCTAGATCATTTGGATTCAGAAGACGATGAGATAAGACATCCACTAGATGGGGATGAACCAGACGATGAAGCCAGTTCTGATGCATCTTTGGATCAAAGTAAATTGGTAAGTAAATAATTGGTTTTTGAACTACTAGAACTTTACAACTTTTCTGTACTTCAATGTTTATATAGAGTGGATACATATTAAATTCCTACATACCGGGTGACGAGAAAGTCTCATCCTTATTTATTGCTCTCCTGGTAGATTTAGAAAAAAACGCTCGAACACGTCAACTTTAATTTTTAAGGACGTCACACTTTTGATTTTCAAATGTAAACCTACTAGTTTTTAGAAAGTTAGAGTGTTAGTAGAAATCTTCTACCAGAAAGAAGAAAGTTGGTATAGCATGTTCTATACCCATCTTCAACAGTTTTAATTTTATGTGCGTTTGTTGTTGCGAAATTGATTTGCGAAAGTATCGCAGATTGCCGTTTCTAAGGATACCTAGATTACCAAAACCAACGAGTCGCCGTTAAATGTCAGTGTGGGCTTGAACTTTTTTCCAACCTAACCTGCAAATCTTTCATTATAATGAAATTTTCAATTCTCAAAACAGTAGAAATAGTAAAAATTAATTTTGAAAAAGTTCTGCCAGGGCTACCGCCCGTTTATTTAATCAGGTACATCCAGACAGAACTATTAGTGATAAGTATGTGGTAAAATTAATCTAGAAGTTTGAAGAATCTGGATGAATTTGAATTTTATGGTCACAGGACCATACAATTCGAACAGTGGCAAACAATGCCATTGAAATAACGGTTTTGGGACACGTGGAACTTGACAATAGCCAAAGTACTCGCTAACTGGTTCCATTTACGGAATTTCTCGCACGTCTATACGAAGAATATTGTCATTCAGCCCTGTGCTGTATCACTCACGTTAACTTTAACGTGCATGTTATCCGTCAAACACGTTATCTGGCTCCAATTGGTGTGTTGTATCAGTAAAACCTTTATATTGTAACAGGCGCACGCTATCGACGAACGCTATATTACGAAATAGCGCTTCATAATAGCAGCATCAAATCACATGCCGCTATCGAACTTAACGTGCGTCCCTCGAAGTTAACTTCGGGGAATAAATAAAACAATTGTGTTTAATCAGAGCGTAGTTTTGTCTTTTAGCTATAAATTGTTTTTAATTTAAAAGAAAAATATGTCTTTTGGTGGTCTTATAAGGTGAGCTTTATTAGAACAATTGAAATAGAAATAAACTTTATTTTCCTCCACAAACTCTACTAAATTTTCAAATTGTTTGCGGGTTTGTTTTTTTTCTGTTCTGTACATGCTCCATTGAAAGTGCTTGAGAAGATAGGTCAAGAACAATAACGAATAAAATTGAAAGTGAATACAAATCATAAACAAAGACAAGTATGGTAGCCGGGAGCCCAAATGGTCAAAACGTGCACATGTGGTGGTGGTGCATATGTTTTAGAAGCTTCGATGGTTTGATGTTAACTCTCCCTCTAACTAATAGACTATTCGTATAAGGGCATCTGACTTTATGCATCCAATATTTTTTCCTTTTTAACGTTTGATGCTGGGTCGGAAAGGCATACGTTAACTGGGAGATAGAGCACACCTCGGTTATGTTTTAACGTTATCGAAAATGTTATCCTGAACTGTTAAGTTGCCATAACGTGTGGCGGTTGAAAATAGCATTTATGATACAGCACAGGGCTGATTAAGTCATAAATTTCATCCTTACAAAATAAAACTTGTACATGAACTCAATGAAGACGATTATGATAGAAGATGGAGTTCTGCGAACAAATGAGTCAACGGTTGTTCAACAATAGACATTTGCTGTTTAATATTTGCTTCTCAGATGAATGCAAATTCTATTTACACGGCGCTGATAATAGACATAGTTGTCGTTATTGGAGTGACTCCAACCCACGTTTATTTAGAGAAGTTCATTTGCAACATCCTCAGAAGTTAACCGCTTGGGTAGGTATATTATGAAATAATATTGGAAGACCTCTTTGTATCCCTGAAAACTTGTCAGGCGACTTATATTTGGAGATGCTGGAAAATACAATAGATCCAATAATTACGGAAATAATAGAAAATGCAAACCATATCCGCTTTCAACAAGATGGCACACCATGCCATTATGTTGAAAGTTGTATGTTGCATGTTGCCCCTGTAAGGCCATTTTTGGATTACATCTTTCCTGGTCGGTGGATTGGTAGGCGAGGTCCAATTGGGTGGCTACCGAGGTCCCCGGACTTAAATCCTTTGGACTTGGGGGTATTTGAAAAGCAAAATTTATAACTCAAAACCAAAGTCGATTTAAGAGCTTCGCCACCAGATTACACATGAGCACAGAAAAATATCCTCAGATGATTTATTAAATATCCGCAAAAGAGTTGAGCAAAATCTTCATTACTGTATGGGGGAAACCCGACATCATTTTCAACATTTGTTACCACATTGAAGTCCGTATGTTTGCCTTATAAATATTGTTTTTGCTTAATACTTCATTTATTTAATTTAAAGGAAATTATTAAATGTAGCAAATTTGCTATGAATCATCATGTAGAGTTAATTAATCACAGCATAGATTTTCGCAAGAGTTTCGAGTTTTAAAGTAGATACCATTAAAAAGTATTTCACTAAAATTGTCTAACGTCTCAACCTAACCAACAATTTAGTTATTACATAATGGTATAAAATTTAAAATAAAATCAAAACGATTGAAGGTGGATATCAGAAATGCTAATTGTTCTGTCTGGATGAAACTGGTTAAATAAACGAGCGGTAACTCTGGCAGAACTTCAGTTTTCAAACTAAATTTTGATGATTTGTAAACTTTGCCGAATGGAAGATTTTATTATAATGAACTGTACAAATTAAGTTAAAAAAATAATTAAGCCCCACCGTGACACTTGACGGCGATTCGTTGTTTTGACTAAACTGTCATAGGTATCCATAGAAACGGCAATCTGCGATTCTTTCGAAAAAAATGACGTAAAACTGGTTAGTTTCCATTTAAAAATCAAAAGTGTTACGTAGTATCTTGTTTATGAAACACCCTGTATAATGCAATTATAGTTAGCAAGGTGTCCCATTAAAAATCGAAGTTCACATGTTCGAGCGTTTTTTCTAAATATACCAGGAGTCATAAAAAGTAACATTTTCGTTGGCCCACCCTGTATATATTTACTTACTTAATACAAGCGATATAGCACTGGGTTCTCAATTTTTACGTCTATTCTTATGTCTTATCATTATAGGTCGCTGCCGCAGATCAAGGAGAACGCAATGAAAACAGTGATCAGAGCGACGAGGTGACATACGTTTCGGAACAGTTTTCTGAGTCCGCCGAACAGCAGTTTACTGGTCAACAAGTTCCACTAAAGTCTGAAAATTCTACGGATTATAACACCGCACCGGGCAACTATAATTACGGTTATAATTATAATATGGCCCCATTCCAAAATCATCCACCACAACAGCCGAGTTACAACTTTCCTCTTCAACCGCCTCCGCCGCCTTTTGATGGGTACAGCGGATATCAACATGGACAGGCGCCGTATAACTATGGTTATCAAGGATACCCGCCACCTCAGCCCCATTATCCTCCATTACATCCACAACCTGGCTACGAGTACAATAGTTCCGCACCTGTGTATCCAAGTTACCCAGCATATCCTCAGCAGTATCCTCCTCCTCCGCAAGGTATTTATCCACCTCCTGCACCAAACACCGTAAATACGAGTTTCCCTGACTACCCACAATATCCAAATCAAACGCAATCAACCTCAACTTATTATCAAAATAGCTAAGGTCTGACTGTCTAATAAACCATGTATGAAATGTTTTAGTTATTAATAAATTAGCTTTTGTTTAAATGTTAAGTACATTAAATTATTGAATTATTTAAGTAATCGAGAAATTGTTCGTGATATTCTCTAACTTTTTCTAACAAGTTGATCATGTTGAAATTCATTACCATACGCTCTTTTATTTGGGTAATTGCTGTAAAAATGTCTATATTGCATCTGTGCCAGAACACCTTCTATGGACAATTGCATGAAGAAATAGAATAACTGGCACTCAGGTTTATCATTGCAAATCTTCTTGCACCTACAGCTTTCTAAATATATCGATGTCTTATGTTAAAGTGTTTCTGTTGGTACAATATAAGGTTAAGTAACTAAAACTGAACAAGAAACGGTAGTATGAGAAGTAACTACTCGATTACAACTGTGATACTTTCTTTTTGACTTTTTTAAACATTCATGCAAATATTGTACATTTAAAAAAAGTGCTTTTATATAGTGTCATGGGTAAAGTGACAACGGTTGTTGTATGATGTGCATCGTTTTAAATCGTAAACGCAAGTCTAAATAATACAAAGCTATTATTTACACTAGTACTGTGCTGTAAATTATTCGCGTTTATAACAAAGACGACCTGATATTCAGCGTAATCAAACGTGAAATACACACTGTATAAATAAATTCAGGACAATCTCATATCGCGTTATACGATATTATTAATATTTTTTAATCATCATAAGATTAAAATTTTGAGATAATGAAATGGTCCTTAGAGTAATTATATAAGTAATAAACTATAAATTGTTTAGGTTCGCGCGTAAAGAAACAATAACCAATAAATTAGGACTTTAGTTATTGTAAATAATAGTTAATAAAGAACTACAACCAAAAAATATACACTGCGAGTTCAAATTTTTATGTGCAAGACATTATGGCATCTTCTGCCTTCAAATCAATTACACAGCCACACAACCAATTTTTTTCCACATGGGGTTGATACACTTACAGGGTGACACTAAAAAAATGACCTTCATAAAATGGTTAATTTTCAATGAAAACAAAATTTATCAACAAACACATACTCAGCCGGTTTCAAGGTGGCCCCCTTGCGCGTCTCGGCAAAGCACCACGCACCTCTTCCGGCGACAATCGGTCCCCGATGCAGTGACTCCAACGTTTTCCAATTTCAATCTTCAAATTTTTGACCATGTCCTGATGAGCTGTTTTCTTGATGGAATTTTTTATATTAAAAAAGTTCTCCTACAATGTTTTGATGAAAAGTCAAAGCGGCAATGATGTTTTTAATTCTAATCTGGGAAAGGGGCTAGGGAAATGCAACAGTAACATAGCAAAAGCTGTAAGGAGATACACTAACAAACGGCTAGCTATATTGGAAGATTGGCTCCAGGAAGATAGTGGACGACAATAGATGTTTGGGTTCGAACACAGAGGTATTGGAGATAATCGGGTCCCCTCTACAGGGTGTCCCACCGGGAAGCGCCGCGGTCGATATCTGACAAACTAAAATAAGGAGAAAATTAGAGTCATTGGGGCAAGCGATCTAAAATATTTTCAAGATGGCCACACTGTGTTGGTATCAACTTGCTTATTTTAAATGGAACACCCTATATAATATTACAATTTTTAATTCTACTGCAAATTATAAATATATTTCATGTATGTTAGCTTTCGAGAACCAGGCACTGCTGACATCATCATCATTAAGGCAGGAAGTCAGTCGGTCGTGAGACATCATCGAAAACGGCTACTTTTCAAATTATGTTATTCACGAATCTTGAATTAAACCGAATGTTTGATAATTGCGTGTTTAATTTCAACATAAATCTAACATGTATAATATCCAATACCTGTCTAACCGTTTTTGATATATTTGAAATTTTATGTAAAAAATGACAGTTGCAGCCCCTCGAAAWTTTTTTTATTTCTCCCTAAGAGTAAATAGCATCTATCTATAGATACTATTTACTCTACGATTTTTCCTATAAGAGTAAATGTGCCACTGAATTTGAGTCGCATTTCTGATATTGACAAGGACTTACTTTAATAAATAAGTTTCAAAATGACGTTGAGAAAACCGCCCAAAATCGATTTTTTTCAAATGGAAGCCCCTCATTTTTGTGGAGCCAAAAATTCCTTTTTGCTTCGACCTTTAATCTTGATAATGTCAGCCGTCGCGTAGACCGCTGGTAGTTTGAATTAGTAGATGGCCTAGGCCACGCCCCCTTAACAGTGTAAAGACTAGTCAACGCCGATCAGAGCAAGGGAGCACGACTCCGACCAGTCACGTAGAGTTGGATTTTTGCGTTTCCAGCCTGCTAGAAACGCAGTTCTACTGCACTACCTACTTGCAGAAAGTGTTGGTTTGTCGTCACATTTTGTTAGGGGACAAAATTCTTATAAAATATGGGAATACATTTCTGAAACATATAGTGCAGATAACTGAAACGTTTCGGGATTTAAAGATACGTTTCTGAACCTTTTCTTAAACACAAAATTGTTTAGCGGGTACTTTGTTGCTTTTTGTCCACACGTTTTCGAATAATCGCGTTTCAAAATTACAGAAAGAATTAAACTTGCCTGCATTGAGATTTTGTTTTTTAGATCTTAGGTTAAACAAAAATTGTCATTGGGTGTCCTTACAGTAAAAATGATTAGAAGACAGTAAACCGTTAAAATCGTTGAATAACAGGAAGAAAATCGAGTTTAAGGAATTGATTTCGGATTTATTCAGTATTGTACTTCGAGAAAAATCACTTTATTTACGGAAGAGAAATTTCTTCCATAAAACCCATGGGATGTACTTACGCACTATCTTACAAGTTGTTCAAAATGTTGTATATTTTCCTGCAAACAATAATAAAGTCGAAAACATTTTCAAACCCTCCCAAACATTGATAAGATATTTAGCGGAAGGCGTCTCAAGCACCTTCGTGTGGTAGAAGTGCGTGAGGTGAGCCGAAGCATTGCTCAACCCAGACAAAATCCTCCTTAAACCCGGAAGCTCGCATTTCCATTTTCCCCCGATTCTCAAAAAATCCCTAACTCTGATCCCGCGCAAAAACCCCTTACTCTCCAGTTCTCTCCTCTATGGTTATTGCGGATGTGATCGACAGCCCTTCTGGCTCATTCCACTGCTGCAGCCTCGTCCGTATTACAGTAGGCAGTGCCAATCGTCTTAGGGTCTGTCAAAGAGCCATAGAGAGAGGACCTCAAGGTGAGCTTAAGAGAGAAGATCAGAAATGAGATTAGAAGCAGAAGTTGTGATGTTCTGGTGCGCATAGCGAGTTAAAAGTGGCGATGGGCAGGACACGTTGGCCGAAATAACGAGATGTGGACGACAGTACTAATACAGTGGCGTCCAAGAATATCAAAAAGAAGGGTCGAACGTTCGCAGGCTAGATAGAGAGACGACATCCAACGACAACAACGGAAAAAAACTGGATTCAAACCGCCCAGCAAAGATTATCAGAATCAATCAGGAGCAAGAAGGTATAAGAAAATGAAAAAACGTTGATAATACGACTAAACAAACTTTTTTGCATAACCAGATTGGGTCTCTAGAAAAGAGCAATAATAAAATCACATTAAAAGCGATAGAAAGAACAAAAGCAGTTATAAAAATGGTTCGCATATACAGTATTGGAAAGTATGTGTGTGACTCTCCCCCCACCTTTCATTTGACAAGTTAGGAAAAACGTTTTTAAGGAAAGTGGTTTTTGATGGTATTTTGACTAAAATTTGACTAAAAAAAAACTATGTTTCACTTATCGGGACAATTTCTGTATAAAACCGACTTTTTAAGATACCGTTTGAAATTACGTCATCTAGTGGCCATATGAGAAATTTCAAAATAATTTCCAGGAAATTATTTTCTTCAAGTTTGTCATCACTTTTTCTCGATCACTCTACAACACATACTTTCCAAGATACAGCCGCTTACCATCCTTATTGCGACACCCTGTATATTGACAGATTATTTTCTCCTCCAGCTTAAAGAAAATTTATAAAAATCAGGAAACATCAGGAATAGAAAGAAAAACAAAGCAAACTTGCTCATAACTAATGTCAGACGTATTTTTTTCTCTTGAAACTAAGAATATTTAAAAACTACATTTTTTGTAAAAAATAAAGGTTTATTACGTACTGATTGATAACACAAGTCAAATCACCTATAATATTTTGAGAAGTATGGTATCACGTAATCAACATCTTCTTTGTTACTTCTCCATAAAAAGTCATTGATATAAATTGTATTAATACATTTGATTCCTTGTTCGGCTAGTACCACAAACGCCGACAGATCTTTAACAGTTTTCAATTCAATCAGACAATGAGTTGCGTGAATTGGATCATCAAACGGAGGATTCACGCTGACCACAACGCCTCCACCCGCTTCTATAACATTGACAATTGGCTCTCGGTTTCCGGCGACGACGATAGCTCGTAAGTCGCTAAACGCACCATAACCTCTTCTCTTAATTTCTTTTCTCCAGAACGGGATGCAACTGGCTTTATCTTCAAACTGAATGTTGACACGTGCCTTGGGATTACCAAATTCGTACTCCTCTTCATCCAAGAAATGTCCAGCAGCTATACAGTTATCCACGTAGGATGTATGTATTATCCACTTACCAGCTGCCATACAAGCTAGCGTTTTTTCATTTCTTCCCGGCTTTCCGCAAACCAAATGGGTACATGAAGGATCATAAGCTCCCATTTCCGAAATCAGCCCTCCCAATTTTTTTAAATCGTTTGCAAGTTGACTACGTTTAGTTGCCTCAATCCCAGACAGCAGAAACACTTTCTTTACAGAATTTTGAGCCTTTTCTTCGCCAAAATCCCAGCCTACTGTACACACTTGAGATTGGATTTCAGTATTGGTTTTAACAATACCTGGAACATTCACCACACTCTCGAACGTTCTACTCGATCGTTTAGTGGCACTCGAGCTGCCACTGGCCATCACTCTGAGATGCAGTTCTTGCAATTTTTGATGAACAGCTGTCTCATTACATTCAACATTCGGCTGCTGATCCACTGGATGTTCACTTTCAGGCTCTTGGGTTTCTTCTTTATCTGTCATTAACCTAGCGTCATCTTGAAGTGCATACTCTTCTCTACCCAAGACTTTGTCTATAAGACGTCGTTTTAGTTCCGACAGCGGTGTGCTATTTCGGCGTTTGGGCGGAACAAAATCTGGAAATGAGTTAACATATCTCTGCATCTCCTTTCGCAACCCAGGCGATGGATTTGGTCTGATGAATTGGCCAATCGGCGTTTCTGGGGTTTTGGGACTCCAAGCTGTTGGCGGCGTCGACATGACTCTATCATTAAAAGGGTCCTTCAGGATTTTATTTATTGGGGTAACCAATTTATTGGGGATTTTTACCGGTGTAGATTCCGTATTTCCAGGTGCGCAAAATTTACTACACTGACCTTCATCAGTTTCAGGTTTGACAACACTTTTACTTTTCCCAATTAGAAACTCTTGCAAAGGAACATTTATGCCCGTCTTTAAACATTCCAAAAGCCAATCCTTAGTTACCACAGGCAAATTCCATTTTAACGCACCTTCATACTTCTTTCCACTAGCTTCTGCACTAACTAGATGAGTGGACATCATGATATTTTTTTCCGGACGAGCCTTACGACACAACAGCTCTTGAAATATTCCTCCGAGGGCCTCAATAAGAGTGCCAAGAAAATCCCTTTCCATATCGACATAACCGCTTAAAGTCACAACGCAATCCTTCAAAGGTTGAGTTGCAGGCACTTGAATTGGCCTGTGGAAATATTCAATTTTACTGCATAAAGAATTATTGTTTATACATTCCAACAGCCACAAGTCATTTAAAACTTCCTGAGCTGACGGTAATTTTATAGGATTTGCGTAAATCATGGGTAATATCACGTAATCACAAACCCCCTTAAAACTTTTCTCAACGACAGTTCCACGAGCGTTAGTGATGTGTTGTTGAAAATACTCTGCGTTTTCGCCTTCAAAGTCTCCCAGAAAAAATTTGCAAGACTCGAATATAGGCGACACCTCAAGATCACACATTTCGGAGGCCACTTGAGACGCTTGCATTAAAGTGTTATTTGACTTGTTTGATATGTTGTTCTGTTCTACGGGAGATGAACTTTTTTTCGATAGCTTGGAATGGATAGTAAATTTTTCGTTCCCAGGGGCTTCAAGTGACGTCAAATTATCCTGACCTTTTAGAAGTTTTGCTAATGTATCGTCATCTTCATCTTTATTTACTTTACTTTCAAGATATTTTTGTGTGAGAACATCTTCATTTTCGTCAACTGGATTTGCCATTGTCCGTTCAGATGCGTCAGATGACATATCATTCCGAAGGAAACTTAAAACTTTCTGACTCAAAGGTGAACCCATTTCTGGGGCTCTAGAAACGTCTGCTCCATTAGATGCTTCATTGCTCCTCACTAGATACTTTTCTTCCTCAGCCTGCCTTTGTTGCATAATAGAATCATACAACCACTTAACATTCACGAAATAGCACGGACCTCCCATTGCTTTTATAGTAGTTACCTCGGAACAAGTTGGGTCGCCAACCAAAACATGGGAAACTCTGGTAGAAAATGAATCATACCGGGTTGCTCCACTTATATTAATGATTTTATTTAGCTTTTCTCGGTGGCTCGAGCTAAAACCCACAACATAAACTGAGCAACCATCCAAAAAGTTTCCACCATTTTTTATTTTTTTGATATCCATTTTATCCACTAGATTTTCATCAGCCTTCCTTTTACTGCTACCAGTAATCGTGCTATCATTTCTAGTATTCTGTAGGGTGTCTTTGGGGAGATAAGTATCGTTTACAGTATTGTTAATTTGAGATTTTCGTATACATTCGCCGATGGAACTAACCGTCGAAAAATTTGGATCAATATTTTCACCTTCTTTTGTAGGCGTTGATGTTAACACCTTAACATGATAATGTTCGCGAGGCAAAGCATACCCTTTCTTAATGCTGTCATAAACCCACTCCTCGGTAACACATGATATATGGGATGTATTTCTCGCTGCTTTATATTTTTCACTTGTGGTTCCTGCCGAGCCGCAACACACTAATATATCAGTTTCAGACAACTTTAGCTTCATTTCCATTCTGCCCCCATTGCCAGCTATAACTGTAGATAATTTCAATCTTTCCTTGGATGATGAAATACCTGTACTACAAATAGTTAACTTGTGTAGCGCCGGGCACTTGAACTTTTCAAGGAGCTTTGGATCATTTGCACTAACATAATTGGATTTATTTTCCTCAAATAATTCATCTATCCAATTAGGTAGCATCAATTTCACCCCTTTTTCAGCAGCAAGCATATATTTTTCTGATTTTGTTCCATCGCATATTAGATGCGTAACTAAATCGGTAAAGTTTCCATTATACAAGCCACCCATCAGTTGTACTTTGTTTTTAATTTTTTCTTTATCATTTTTTGATAAGTGCGTGCTGGTAACTTTACATCCGTACATTGCCACATTCAAAATAGGCCACTTGAATTTAGGAATTGGTTTTCCTTCCACTGAACAAACGCTGATTGCCATGGGTCCCACAACACAGCATTTCTTATCGGTGAATTTGCTGAAATCTTTTCCGTCTAAATTTTCAACTACCAGATAATCAAGATTTGTTAGTTCTAGTTCATTTAAATTCGCTTCTTTAACCCAAAGTATATCTTTCACTAATGGCTTGCATAAATCATAAGCTTGTGTCATCACTGAAGAGGCTTTAGACTCATCGGTAATATCGTCCTGAAGAAGAAAGGTCATACGAACATCAGCCATATTAGAAATGTCCACACTGCTATATGTTGTTACGTCCATAGAGTATTAGTAGGCCGGTTGTGGCCCAACTGAAAAAGATAAAGATAATTCAATTATCATATCAGATTTGCCATCGAATTACCATGCTTAATGTTAACGGAGTGATTAAAAATTGGCGTAATTCTTCAAAATTCGTGTTATACATGAGTACTGGAACATTTGCGAAACATGAAACATATGTTCAAAAAACTTTCAACTTTGTAATTAAACAAGATTCTAAAGTAATAATGGATATCAAATATAAACGGGATTGACTTCAGTGTAGGGAGTAGAACAGTCGAGAAAAGTGGGCGGGGTTTTATGATAGTTGGCCGAAACAGAAATCTTGAAAAAAGTTGATAGAGGGATGTGCTCCTTAAGAAGCGTGAATGATCGGCTGTGGATCGGCCCCTTCGTGGTGTGCCCCGGGCAACGGCAGTAAACTATTTAACTCAACGAAATGTGTCCAATAGGGTAATCCGATATTGAAACGCATTAAATCTGACCTGGCAGCCATTAAATATGACAAATAAGAAAAATGGACCGTTTTGAACACTCAACCGAAAACATCAAATTAGAAACCAAAGCTGTGAAGAAGTGTCAGATAAATAAATAAAACAGTATTTAAAATGTGGTCGATTCCAGATGTTGTTACGTGCAAATATTTTGCCGTAAACCTGTTAATTTGTTTTCGACCTCGGTATGCGTGTGCAAGTTATTTGCCAAGCATATCTGTTTTGGTTTTTTATCATAGAGTTAAATTTTGGCTGTAAAATCCGAACCTAGCAAATTTGGCGATTCTTATCGCAGTTTCGATTCTTATCGAAGGTGAAAGAAATGTTTGGTAGATTGCGGGCTCACGTGTCCGTTAGGGCCAATGAATTTGGTGATTTTTGATTCCTGCGCCAACGGAAGGTTGGGGGGAGGAAAAACTTCTACTGGTGTAACGGTGGATTTTTGGTAGAGGAAGAAAAATTAGGCCGTGACGATCAGATAGGCAGGTCGATTTTTGAGTTTGTTCCGCACGGTCGGGCTTTGAGATTTTCATTGTGTTCAGCGCTACCACATGGTCGGTTTTTAAAAAGTTTTAGAATCAAGAAATTCATTGATGGTGGCATTGATGGATTGATGGTTTGCAAGAGGCCTTTCTTTCCGCTGGGAAAAGTAATCATCTAATCGGCGAGTTGAAATTTTTGAGACCCAAGAACCAGATAGACGAATCCATGATGGCCGTTATGACCACGTGGAATTGATCCGAGAT